GGTAAGTTCCAAACAGGAACCGATCGCTTCGCAAGTCGTTTCGGCCAGAGCAATATATTCGGCGCTGCTTCGTTAAGAAATTAATCTTACAACAAACGTGCCAGTATCACCTATCTCCTAAGTTAACAATACACTACACACTGTAATTTGACAAGGAAGATACTGCTGACTGATAAAGTAAAAGGCGCCAGTAATAGAGACATGATCAAAAAATAAACCACGTCTACATTTCAACGGTTATAAGCTGTCATTTCCTAGTAGGCGCACGACATTTCGAACACTAGATTTTCTGCTGAGTTGTCTAAGAAGAGGCGAATCGACATCTAGGCATTTCGCGTAATAAAAATACAACCCGGTATTATAGGTTTGTGAAGAAACTGCTAGTTTTTAATACTGCTGGATAATTCGGCAGACTACACGCTACGCGTGCAACCAATTCCTGGAATTTAGTCTAGTGTTTCTATGGACTAGCGATATTCGATTTATCTTGCAACGTGTCCATTCACTGTCACTTCAGTTTGTCCACTTGGGCAATGACTTCGCAAACTAAAATTTGTTCTCCTATTCATTCATTCGTCTTTGTCTATTTCGAACATATCCCGTTGGGTAGTCACTAGCTATGATTAGATATCAGGCTGAGGGTGACCGTTTCGCACCAATAGGTTAGCCCCGGGAACACACACTAATCAAAAACTTTCCGTTTCAAGCGTAAAGGCAGATTCCCAGATAGGAACATTTTAAAATCGTCAGAAATTGCTCCATGTAAAATTTATTCCTCTGTTAATTTCTCCCAGTCGGTTCCCCGTTTCAAAGTTAAGCCGTTTCAGACAAACGTAGTTTTGCAACCTTTCAAGTGTAAGTGCGCTGACTTCAACAGGAGACCGGGTGATGCATTTGTTAAACACGTTTTCAGTGTTCTTCAGGTTCATTTTTAGTCTTAGCTTGATGCTGGCATAGTTCAGTTCCTGGATTCTCTATGGAATTCTTCTGCTACCCTTATGAGGATAGGAATACCATCCACAAACCGCAGGTGGCTTAGTAGTGCCCCATT